ATTGTTTGTGGCACAATGTGTATCATATTTCTATTTAAAACAATACAATGAGGCTAACATTATATCCCTGGGTGAGGCATTCCAACTCTCAAACACCTTATTCGTTAAAAATTTTTGACGAGCTGAACTGCAAAACTTCAGCTTACGCAACTTTAGAGAATATCCGCTGCTCGGGTCTGAGGTATGAGAGGGAAGAGATGCCTGACTGGGAAAAGACCATTACTCAAGGCCTGATAAGTAATGATTAGATCCCCTCATTTGCGCCTATCAGAAAGAGGACAGAGATGTATTTGTCTAAGCCTTTAGTGGTACAGAGGCGGATTTTTGCCGAACGGAAATCTGGTTGCTCGACGCTGAATGGATTCCAAGCATAAAATATCTTTTTGAAGTATGGGAGACCAGACCCCATTAGCAAACTCTAACAAAGGCTCTACATATGTTTTAAAAAGTTTAGAAAGGACTAATGGATTAGCTCAGAAAAAAGAATATTTTATTCGCTTTGCTCGCAACTCGCTGGACATACTCAGTCCAGGACAAATTGGAGGTGACAACAACACCCAAATCAACGTGCGAGTCTGTACATGAAAGAGGTTAGTTGTCAATGGAATAAACGTGTTTCGGGTTTTTATTCCTAAGGTAGAGAACTATGCACTTGTCTAAATTCAAAAGTTACAACCAATCATGAGTCGAGTCATAGATTGTCCGAAGGTCTCGTTCTAAGGCTCTATACTTCGCACAACTGCTGTAAAGCTTAATGTCGACTGCGAATATGGCGAAAGGCGAGGTTATGGTAGCGCCCTGTGGCACCCCACTCACAAAATCGACAGATCTACTAGTCCATCACCGACTTTGACTCGAAACGTTCGATCGCTCAGAGAAGAATCTATCCACACAAGAAGGTTTCCCCGTATACCAAGATGCAATTTGTACAGAAGCCTGCGTTTCGGAACCTTATCAAAAGCCTTTGAAAAATCGAAATAGAAAACATCGACGAGGTGACCCAGGTCGATGTCACTAGTCCAGTCTGACAAACAGCACAAAAGGTTAGACTGGACAGATTTCCCTGATTGCTCCATTAGAACAGAAAGCGGAGTGGAAAGAGAGGCTGCACAGTTCTTTAAAACGCAGGCACAACTATATAAGATTGGGACCTGGAGATTTAGTAACTTTCAACTTACTGAACTTATCTGCCACCGCGTCATCCCAGAAAGAGGTTCAAGAGTAAATCCTATATCAGCAACGTTGTAACTGTCATCATTAACTGTGCCGGCCGCATCTTTGACTTTAAACGCTTTAACTGGACCAGATAAAGTAGTGCGAATATGCTTAAAAAGAGTTTTGCTGTCCCTATCCTCTGCAATACGTTCCTCATAAACAAGTCTGGCCTCTTTGATGGTAGTCAAAAGATGATTAGAAAAAGCTCTGTGAGCATTGTAACTCGTTTTGGTTCCTGTTCGTTTAAAAGCTCGCCACAGTGCTTTCTCTTTGCATACTAGGTTTAAAATTCTCCCGTTAATCCACGGTTTTGATAAAGATCTTTTAAATGTGGAAATAGTAGTGTACTGTAAGACCGTATCGGATAGTGTTGTTTTAAAGGACTCCCAATTGTTGCTTATCGACAAATCCGAAAGAAGAGCTTTGGAATCTAGGTTGCCTAAGTGCTTGTTCAGTGTTTCAGAATCGATCGTCTTCCGTTCGAGGGTGATAGTTCTCCTTCGACGTGTGTAATAAACCTGTAAATCCATCATTAGAAGTAAATGGTCCGATTCACCAACAGGATTAAAATATTCTAAGTTAGAGATTGAACTGTTATTAGACGTTATAATTAATCTACCACAGATGTTTTTTGGTTCGATCTGAACCTTGTTGGCTGCGTGATCAATTGATCCAGATGACTATTAAGCAGCAAATCTGCCAAAAGTTGAGAGGAAGGGCCAATCCACATGTGGGAAGTTTAAATCACCGAAAATACACACTTTGTCGTATCGGTTTTGAAAATAATTTCGGAGGCTTGCACGGTCGGAATCAATACATGATCGTTTTCCGGGTTGAAACCGTGTAAATTGAGTTTTTGGGCTCAACATTTCGAACACTTTCGTAAGTGGCATCTTCAGGAGCAGGGTTAAGAACAAGTAATTACTGAGTTACTTTTGCCTCTTAACCCTACTCCTGAAGATACCACTTACGAAAGTGTGCGAAACGTTGAGTTCAAAAACTCAATTTACACGGTTGCAACCCGGAAAACGATCATGTACTTTGTCGTATCTATTTGATATATTGCTAATCGTGTTGAAAAGTGTTATATCGTCATTGAACAGAGATGTGTTGTGCTGCTACTTGTCACTTTTAAGAAGAGAGAATCAATACCACCGATACTGACAGCAAGGGACGTAACCGTGAAATTCCCGAAGATCAGAAATGTAGGCACAGATGCCGCCACCCTTTTTTCCAAACCGATCTGATCTAAAAATGGTATAGCCATCGAGAGAAATTAAGGCATCAGTTATAAAAGAAGTCAACCATGTTGCGGACAGCATTATAATCGTAGGTCCATGTGTCAACAAAAGCACAAAAATCTCAAACTTTGCCATCAAAGATGTCACATTAATGTAGGCAACAGTGCTGACAAAGTAGGTAATCGGACAAAGAGTTGTTATTCATGAGAGGATTAAAATTGAGCAAGTAGAAAAAGAGAAAAATAGAAAAAAGAAGGCGTTGATTCTGAAAGTTCTGAATAAAATTTGGAAAACCAACAAAATACCAAAAGAGTAAGAAACAACGGTGATCATAGCATTACATAAGAAAAATGACAAGATGAAATGAAAATTACAAAGGAATTTCCACTGTTAAGTGTTCTGCGTACAGTGCGCAAAAGAGTGTGATAGATTCCATTAAGTTAACACTTGGAGACACACAAGCAGAGTTTAACAGAGGTAGACGTAGAAATGAATATATTTTTACTATGTGACATATGCCATAAAACATGGAACACGCTAAGGAAAAGAAAAATAACGCAGAATCTAATAAACGCAATACAAAGTTTTATACACCAAAACTCGAAACGTCATGAAAAACAAAAAAGGGACAAGAAGACTCAGACAAAAAAAAGGGTTAAACAGGGCAGTATATTGAGTCCTTTCCTATTTACTATAATGATGGACAAAATTTTAAAAGCGTGAAATTCAAAGTCAAAATGTAGTAGTAGGGTATGAAATAATTACAAAATATGTAGATGATATATGCGGATGAATTCATTACCTAGGCACCTACTAAGGAGGACTTAAGAGAACATCTACTACACTGGGAGGAGGAACACAAGAAATAAGATATCAATATAAAGAAAACTGAAATAGCGTACAACTGAAGATGTAGAGGACGAAGTAACGCTTGAAGACCATTGAATCCAACATTTCAAAAAAATAAAATAGTTAAACTCAATTATAACTAAAAAGCAATCGAAGAGTGAACAGAGACACAAACAATAGAATTAGGGCAGCAAATAATTTGTACAGAGCGTTATAGAGAATATTTATTAAACAAGAAACAAGTTAGCAAAAGAACGAAACTGGAAGTTTAGAACTACATATTTGTGTCCGTATGGAGCGGAAATCTGGTGCTTAACGGATGCGAGATTAAGTTTTTAAGAAAAGTTTTGGGGGTGATCAATTTTTGTCACCCTCGAAATACTTTTGTATTGCACAGATTAAGCAATACAAAAAAGGAAACTATTAGCGGTGGAATCGTTCGAAAAGGAAAAAATGTACCAACACGATATTACTAAAATTCATATAAAATTTGATAACAATTGGTTCGGTAGTTTTGGAGGTTATCTGCCTAATACAAATTGACACAGACCACGGACAGACGAGAGACGGCAAACCTTAAATAAATGATAGAAAGACGACACTATTACAATGTTTCCTTAGTTCAAAAATGATCTAAACGCAGCAAATGTGTGGGTTTTTCAACGTAGTTTATTGAATTTTGTTTCAGTAATGATGTACTTTAAACCATCTGTCTGTCAAAAATCGGAATTTATAGGTACTGAGTCCAACACTGCAACAGCGACAGACTCTTCACAATTTACATAACTCCCTACATACAGTTTTGGTTCTCAGTTACAAAATTTTGTTGTCCAGTGTGTTAAAGGACTGCGTTGTTGCTATACTGTTGTTGTAACTTCAAATGTATCTTGACTGCACATTTATTGCTCGGTAAGGATCCCTTCCATGTAAGAGGCGTGGGGCTTGTCCTGCTTACAAGTCATATTAGAATTAGACAATTCCTGAAAAAAATGCGTTCAAAAAATTTGCAATCAATTAACACTACTAAACTGTCAATGTGACCTTCCAAATTACCTTCGTAGTTAGAATGACTAAAAAAGTTTTAAGTGAGAGAACAAATTTACCAAATTTTTGTTCGATTTTCTGAAATTATATCTAATTTGCTTCAATTATTTGTATTACAGAAACCGCTGTAGTGTTATTTAACTAACGGATAACATTTTCTGCATAATAAACTTGATCAGAATAATCGTGAGTAACAGTGCACGACTCGATACTGTAAGTAGAATTCCCACCAATTACATAGATTTAATTGCAATTAATCATAACATTAGTTACGACAGTAATAACCATACGTAGATTATACCAGATACGAATGTTTAAAGTCTAGATCATGAATACATACATATTCTATGTGCAATGACAAATCACCAGCAATGCGCGATACGATTCTTAAGATTGAACATTTTTCCTCAATTACGAAATAAAATTCAAATAACGGAATTTCATCAACACCCGATAATGTTATTCCAACCCCGGCAAAGTGAACCCATAAAACATGTCGTAAAATGTTTTAATTAAGTACCTGGCGTGAATGTTAACGTTAATAATCGTATGCCGGTATAGTAAATACACATGCAGGAATGTTTTTCTTACGAACCAGTCAGCATTGACTTAGGCGTGCCGTTTACTGATATATAAACATGGAGTATGCATTTTGTCTTATTATTTCGCATGTCAACACCTATCGGGCGGAAGAAGACGCTAACGTTTACTGAGTCAAAAGTGCTAGTGTTCGACATGGCGTTCAGCCACAAGTGTGTTTTTGTAAGTGATGTGATTTTTTTTGAAAAACAAAATTTTTTAAAGATATTTTTAGTTTAAAGATTTTTGACCGTAATTTTGTTCACTTAACTTTTTGATTATTATTATTAGTGTTTTAGAGTGTGTTTTTTTTTTAATTTGGCTTACAACTGTTTACTAAACGATATATTTTCGGTAAATATTCTCGCGTTAAGAGTCAGAAAAAACAAATTTTATTTGAAGAAAATGTATTAATTGTATATTGTCGTACATACATCTTTTTAGCCCTATTTGTGTTACTTTTCTTATTTAATTGAAAATTAATAAAAAATTCACAAAATAATTTAATAAAATATTCACTAAACAAAAAAAATTTAAATTTCCCAAATCTGTTTTAAAAATTATCAGACACTATTGATACCGTATTAAAAAATTTGTGCACAAGGATCCAGAATATTTGTTATTCAAGTGATACGAAAGGCAGATGTAATGAAAGAAATTAATATTATTGATCTAATATATCTATTATCATTTTTTAAAATTGATCAATCGAGTAAGATTAAATGTTTATTAAATTATACTAATAACAACATTGATCCAGATTTGTACTCGTTTGACATTTGACCAAATTAGTTTTTTCTTACGTTTCGGCACTTTTAGATAATCAACATCATTAATATTTTATCTCATTTTCGCAAAACTACCTTATAAATTGTGGTTAATTAACTTAAAGGTTACTGTGTACTATTAACAATACGTGTCTATAAAATCAGTGATAAATTATTCAGCATGTTAGGAAGTTACAAGATTCCTATAGTTCTTACATCATATAGCACAAATGCATTTATTTGCTTCACACGTTTTTCTCCGCATAAAACACTAGACTTTCGTTTTTAAATCAATAACTATTATCATTCACGTGGTTATTTCTAAATTCTATTATGTAACTGGTGTGTAACTGATATAATTTGTATTCACTGTGATAATAGTCATTTAATTACTTGTTTCTGTCAAGATTTTAAAATACATAGAAAGCTGCATGGTACTAAAGTTACGGTATTGGTAATTATAAAAATAATGATACATAATGACAAAATACAAAAACCTAGTCAGTGTTAATTTATGTGCGAAATAGTTTTTCGAATCACAATTAGCTCCTGGTATGCAGATAAAAAATAAGGAAACATTGGTGTTAAAAATACGTTTTTATTGCTCTCATGAACGGTTTATATTCATGAAAATGAACTAGTTTTCAACCTTGAAGCAATTTGTTATCATTTATTTAAAGCGCTTTTTAATTCAGACTCCGTTAATTGAATTCGATCCAGGCCTAACCTTGGTAGTGATTTATTGTTTTACCGAATTAACTCCATTTTTGAAATTGCATAAATGGGATAGGCCGTTCTCTAATCACTTACATTTATTCAATGAAAAATCCTGACCACTAACGGATTATGTTAATTTTGAAATAATACATGAGCGCCTTCACGTACCATTAACCCAATGGTAACAACCAATTCTTGCATTATTTAGCAACAGCGACCTTGCATACAATTCCGTATAAGTTTCTTATTAATTTTTAGGCCTTCATCAGTGCATTGTTTTTCCATCTCGCTTCAAGCCAGTTTAACCCTACGATTTTGCAAGACAGTCGCGACCTTCCTAAAGTCGATGGTACTTTCGGATTCCTCTACCGCACGGAAGATGGTATCGCCCATGCGGCAAAAGGTGATTCTAATGGTGTCATCCACGGAAGATTCTCGTACACTGATCCAACCGGATTAAAAGTAAATTATAACTACAACGCGGGATCGAGGGTTGCTCCTGGTTACAGCGAACCACCATCTTCTGGACAATACCAGCAGCCTAAAGCACAACAACAGCAGCCTAAACCGCAATACCAGCAGCCTCAGCCTAGGCGGGAGGAGTACAGAGAGCCTCCACAGTATGATTACGAGGAAACCCCGCAATATGTAGAACCAGAACCTCAGTACGTTCCTCGCACTAGGCCTTCAGCAAGGACTCAGCAGAGTAGGCCTTCTTCCAGAGCTCAGTACAGTGCTCAGTACAGGCAACCCGTGCAAAGCCCCCCAGCTCAGCGCAGAACAAGGCCTGTTTATTCAACACATAACGATGTTTATGATGATTATAGTAATTAATTAAGTGGTTTTTAATTAATTAATTGATTTGTAAGGTGAACTGTATTTTTATTGTACAAATTTTGAAGCCATATTATATTAATAAAAGTCAGTTTTAATTAAACTGGTTGTTAATGGTTTATTTGGGTGCATACATTCGACTACGTAGTTACTTTCTACGAAAGAGATTTCAGTCTTATTTTTAGTAATGTGGGGAAATTTTAAAATTATTATCTTATGCGTAATTATCTAAATACGGTATAATAATAGACTGTTAACGTATTATCAACAAAGTGATGACTACAAATAGAAACATACATATAGTCATAGTTCTCTTTTTCTATGCATTTAAACCAGTTGCATGCCTTTATGGGGAATATTTATTCACATCTACTTTGCATACTGGTGCACTATTTTTTTTTGTAGTACCTAGTGTCCTATTTTAATGAATTTTGTTTTTTTTTAAAAAACAGAGCTACAGAATAATTTTTTGGTAATGTCTTCCTTGAAGTTACGACATATTTTAACGATGACTTAAAATTTTATTATAAAAAGATAAAATAAATGCTAAACTGGTACAAACATATTCCCGTCGAAAATTTTGCTCTTAAGATCTTTTATCTGAGATTAATTTACATATGTTTGTAGAGTTGGTAGAGTTGTGATATATATTTATTTATCCGTCACGTCTAGACAGATTTTGTTAAGAACTTTATGTAGGAGATGTAATGATATAAACTCTAATTTGCTAAAAGTCTAACGAACTGTCAACCGTTATTTGATAAAACTTTGAGAGTACTTTAAACGTCGTCGCATAGACTATAAGCCATTAACCAAAATGGTACTATTCAGCTCCTCCAAAAAACTGATAACGTTATGTGCAGGCCCGTAGCTAGACTTTGATTTCAGAGTGGGCAACTAATATTTTAGAGGGGGCAAACATATTTTTTTATCTTCGAATGTATAAGTATAGGTACCTGTAATTATTTTTTTGTGTTTTGTTATACTTTATTGCTTCTAGCTGAGTACATAACATTTTTAATTTTAAAACAAAACTTTTTTAAGTTTTTAATACAATTGGAGTTTTCTGTCCTTTCTCTCATTAAATTTCTGCAAGAACACATCAAAGTTTATATTATTAGTTTGCTTACTTTCAAAAGCTAAGTATACAAGATTGGCCATTCTCTGCTGGGACATTGAATACCTTTGTGGTCTGTTTATACGAGTTAATGTGGAAAATGAAGACTCATTAACTGCTGTACTACACCCAAATACAGCGACAGTTGCGTACAATTTATAACTTTCATTAAAGGCTTCACGTTGGTTGTAAAGGGCCTGTAGTATATCTTGTTCTTTTACCCCTTTATTGGACAAATATTTTTTTACGACGGTAAGTTCTTCTTGAGACGGTAATGGAATACCTAAAAAACAAATTTAAAAATTACAGATTTTTTACAGAAAAATTTTAAATCAATAAAATATGGACTTAAATTAATTTGATAAAAATCAAATAGGTAGTCACTCACCCAAAGTTGATAAATACTGAAGTTTCTCTAAATCAAATTGGTCGATATTTGAAATCGCAGTAATTAACTCGTCATTGTCATCAAATCTTTTTTCAAATTCAGCAAGAAGCAAATCAATAGTTTCCATATATTGTCGTTTAAGGTCATTTTCACAGTTCGTACTTGTACTTGGAAGATAATCGGTGAACAAATAGTCTTCTTTGGTAATCCGTTTTCGTTTACGTTTAGGAACCCTGCATTCTTCTGTCTCGTCTGTCTCTGGCAATAAATCTAGGGCTTGGTTTAATATTTCTAAGTACTTCGATTCGTTCCTTAGCTGTCGAATTTCTTCTACTGCTATCTTCGTAATTACGATTGCATCTTTTAGGCTTGTTTTTCTACTTTCTAATGCGTTGTTCGCACATTCCAAAAGTGATAAAATTTTGTGGCTTAAAACTAGTGCAAAACGAAACTCAATTTTTTTCATTATAGCATATAAACCAAGGCTTTTAGCTATAGTGTCGCCGTCAAACTTTTCATGTGGAATTTTTTCTAATGCTTGGAGTATCTTTTGAAAATTGTTCCGAATTACTTTTGTAACGGCCAAATGACCTGTCCATCTTTGCTCTAGAAGACGTCCGATATTTTGTCCCTCATAGATGTGGTGTACTTTGGGATGTTGAAAAAATTCATGAAATGTAATGCATTGCTCAAAGAACAGTCTTAAAACCACAATATCAGAGACAACTCTTATTACCACTAGGTGCAGTCTGTGGTTAAAACAGTGCACGTAAGGTACCTTTTTCTGTAGAGCTGATTCAATTCTTGCGGCAACGCCTCCTCTTTTTCCGCTCATCACACTTGCCCCATCGTAGCATTGGCTAAGCATATTATTTTGATCTAATCCATTTGCATCAAGAATGTCTAATGTTTTCTCAGTAAATGTAGCAGCATCTAACTTGACGGTTGTTGTTATAGCTAATAAAGATTCCCTTACCTCTCCGTTCTTGACATATCTTATGCCTATTGATATGTTCTCTCTTTGGTTCTTGTCTTTAGTTCCATCTTCAAGTAACGTAAAATATTTAACATCTCCACTTTTTATGTCAGAGCAAATATTTTCTCTTACAATTTCTGTCAGAATATCAATTACTTCATTTTGTATTTCCGGAGAAGTGTAGCAAGCATTTTTGGGGATTTTCAAGTAACAGTCTGCCAGTTCTTTATCCTTCTTCAGAGTATACTGAAATAGTCTAATAAATAAACTTTCTTCGATATGTTCGTCTAAATTGTATTCTCCACGAAGTGCCAGTTCGTTTACAGCAATAAATTGAATAATTTCTGCAATACTTTTTACATAGTATCTGTTTTGTTCCAAAGGTCTTTTGCATGCAAGTGTAGATACTGCCAAATTCATGTTGTCTCTCCGAATTTTTTCATTCCATTTTTGCATCGCCTGAATATGTGTTACACATTTTTCATGTCTCGGAAATCCTCTTTGAACTAGAGCTCGTTTCCAAAAACGAAAACCTTTAATCGTAAAAGAAGTTTCTTTGGAACTATGAGGCTCAAACTGCATGCACGGATAACAGTACGCTGCATCACGCACAACAGAATAAATTAGCCATTTAAACCGATCATACCACTCCGCACGAAAAGAACGATCTTTTTCTCTGGGATATTGCCTAAGACGTATTTGATTAATAGGTTCTCCTATATTTGGTAGGTCCAAAGGTATTAAATTTTTTCTTGCAATATTCATGTCTAATAGAGAACCTACGCCCTGTGATGTCTCGTTCGATAGTTCAGAATCATTGGCACTGGGTCCCGCTTTAGCATCAACTTTTGGTGCAAAGAATTTTCTTATATCCATGACTGCACTATATACACTCGTTAAATAATGTCTTTAATATAATTTAAAACGTTTCAATTTTTATTTCAACTACGCGAATTTAAAGTCCAACGTGCTTGGTTGAGTTAACAGTGAACAATGAGACGAAAATTGAGAAATTCTCGAAACCAACCAGGCCGCAATCGGCTGCAGGGTAAAGCGGACGAATTCTGGGAAACCATAAATTGCTCCAATTTGTTTTTTGACACTTTTAATATTTTTACTTCCCGAGCGTACGCTACTACTATTGACGCCGGTTCCTCGGTTCACCGAAAAAATCGAAGAATTTTTATGACTTTGTTTGTTTAGTTGGGTCTTCAACAAACCCCAGATGTGGTGTTTACGATTTGTCACGTACCTGCTTAACAATAACACTTCCTAGTGATTTCGAAAATGTGCACAACAAAAATTTATCTGCCGTACTTGCGGAGTCGTACTGCCAGCAGAGCTGTTATCCTTATCCCCACAGATAAGACAATAACTTTCCAGAGTGGGCAAGATTTTCTTTCAGAGTGGGCAATGCCCACTCTGGCCCCCCCCTAGCTACGGGCCTGGTTATGTGACAGGATTATTAAATAAATTTCACTTGAAATGTGTAACTAACATGTTCCTTAGATCTACGAGTATTTTGTACTAGGTCATATCTTATAACTCTACCGATATGGGTTATCTCAAAAAGTACAAAATTTAATATCGTGATTAGAGATTATGTAAGTCTTTTGAGACTTTGATAAGACAATGTAATATCTCCATTATTAACAGAACTATTGTTATGAAATTTTAAATGTAATCAGTGCATCCCTTTCGTTATGTAACACAAGAGAAGTTTTTTAAAAACAGTTTATTGTCATTTTATTTTTAGCATTTTGTTGAAGTTATAAAATATATAAGATATCTTTATGATTTATGGTTTCAGGTTACAGAACTCTATACGTTACCATCGTCGATTTTTTTTGGCGGAAATGAGTTACACTGAGAAGAAACTGCTTTTGCTCTGTATTTTATTTTCGACAAAAGAAATTGTCAATGATTTTCACGTAACGTATACATCTTTGTAAGCGAAAACAGTGGTGAAAGTCGCGTCCCGAAATTTCCATAAGTAATTGAGATATTGATTTTTAAAAATACATGATGAAAAATTCCACCAAAATTTAAAAAAAGTTGATGGTAAACTGCTTTTAAAAATTTGCCACTGTGTTATATGGAGAAAGTTGTGTCCAACTTATATTTAAATTTCATAGCACTAATGCCTGTTTGCACCAGTTCGGCTTAAGGGGATGTTTGCTAAATGAAAACTGTCGGATTTTTAATTTTGCCGTGTTATTGTCTTCACAAGAAGTTTGCGTGTAGAAAAATAAAGACGAGAAGTACTGGTAAGCTGGTTGAAACTCAGGAAAGCTGGGGTGTAATTTATGACACCCATAATCTTTGGAACAGTTCGGCACCCGCTTGTCGTGTATTATTGTTCGATTTTCGTTCGTCAACAGTTCAATTTTCATATACGAATTTATAAAAATGACCACAAGAAATTAATAAGAAATAAAAATCTGAATGTGTACAAAAATGAACTTCGAAAAATTAAGACAACAAATAGTAAGACCAAACAATTATAATCTAATTGGGAAACTGATTGATTTACAACAAAAAAAGCAGTCAGCCGAATAATTATAAATGCAGTTATTTTTCGGACACAAAACAATCACTTGCGCAACACTTAAAAAGATTTGTGGCAAGTAAAATAAAATCAATTTTAAGTGTCCAAATGGTTCTACTGAGTGTGTCCCTATACTGAAATGCAACGAGAAAATCACCAATTTCTGCATCAGTACGTATAGTGAACCAAGACCTATAAGGTTATATGGCCATCATAAAAGTAGTTGACCGCAAATAAATACCCCCTTTGTGTGGTTCGCACTAAGCTTACCGGTTGGCAATAAATCATCTTCTAAACATTTCTTGCTCATATTTAACAGGGCCGGCTTTCAAAGCGAGTGGTTATTTCGGAACCCTCAGCGGCTGCAGGTAGTAAAGAAATAGTGGAGTGGTGGATTTTCATATTTAGTGAAAGCCGCCCCTGAACGAAACCACAAGAGCCGGTCGAGCTGCAGTGGACACGTTATTTACGACCCTAAAACCTTTTCTATTGTAAACAACTTAACTTCGACACAATGGGATGATTTTATGATGGCCATATAACCTTATAACTCTTGGTTCACTATACCTACCTATATGTCATGATGTAATGCAAATTATAAAATAAACTAGAGACCAATAATTTGTTTCGTTTTTATTTATACGTATTTATAAATATACCCAATGTTTTACTTAAAACTAAGTACTTCAATTATTTGGATTACATATTTCAATTATAACTGGTTCCCTAGCTGGTTAGTATCGGCTAAGTTCAAACTAAAGAGGTATAGAAACTACCTGTGTATACTGAATGGTTATCCGGCTAATTATAAGGTTTATGGTAATCTTTTATACAACAAAATAAAATTCTTTCAGGTAATACACTTTGATCTTTGACAAAAAGCCGAGAAGCAATAGGATTGGTGATTATATAAAGTAACAATAATAAAATTTCTATTAGTAACATTGACTTACACTTTATGTAAGTGTATAAAAACAGCGGCGGGTCTAAAAAACAATAATATTTATATGTACAGAAATTAGGAAATAAAAGCATAATAATAATAGTAAAACTAATCAAATGATGATTAAACTGCATTTTTTGTTTGTAGTTTTAGTAGGTTTTTGACATAATAATTCTGATAAAAAATTTTTCGACTTTTTCGTGGCTTTGAAAGTGGAATCTTCGACTTTCGTCCCATTTCAAAATTTACTCTTTATATATTTCAATGGTCACAACGAGTTCACTAACTACACTGAAGTAAATTTATGGAAAGATTAAATTTGTCACCGAAAAGATGTCGGAAGTAATAAATTATCCCATCGGTCCAAGAACGTTCGGTGGGTGTTATACCCCAATCCGAGAGAGACCGCAGCAAGAGACAGCAAATGGAACGAATAAAATAAAGCTTCAAACATGATCAGTTTTAAATCAAAATTATGAAGTTTTATAAATCGCGAATTTTTTATTTTTTTTGAAATATCATAGTAAACACTTCAAAGAATGTCCATGACTTACTTTAATGTGAATTTTATAACTATGATCGGCACAGTCGGACCCAATATTAGTGTGATTTTGAGCATATTTGCGATTTTATTAGAGCAAAACAGGTCATTTTTTCTCCAATTTTATAAGTTCCGGACACTAATAGCATATCAAAGATATTGTAAAAAAAAAATTGGATTCAGTTTCCAACTAGTTGTCTAATATTTGTAAAACAAAATCTACTGTAAATTCACTGAAAACTAAACGGATAACATCACCTTAAAATTTAAGCGCGGTTTAACTACTCTATATGCATTGCACCGCCATTTTTTAAACTTGAAGTCTGGTTTAAATTGAACAAAATTTAAACCGTAGAATAAGCTGAAGTTAAAGCTAAAACTGCGCTTACAGACGTTGAAAACATGTCAGGTTATTGAGGTTATGATGTGATTGGATGTGATCACTGAAATCATATAGACTATATGATTTCAGTGATGTTTTCCTTTGACTCCACAGTTTAGTCGTAGTCAAAGAGTTTCCCACGTGACCCTCATGAACTAGTAATAAACATACATACGATAAGTAGTACGCAAGCTGGTGTTCGATTATTTTTCTGGTTTAAATGCATATACATATAGATATAAGAAGAGTACAATAATATAATCATCAATTATGGAAATCGCAAATGCCATTTTCGAAGAAAATGAAGATATTGATGATTTATTTGTACTGGACTTTTTAGAGAATCGGATTCCACGCCAAATATACGAGCGATCTCATTATTTTGATACCTTGGATGAGGTTGCATTTCGCAGAAGATTTCGCCTGTCTAGAGAGAGTGTTTTATATATACTTGACATAATTCAAGAACACCTAGAATACCCCTATGATGTGAACAATTCCATTTCGCCAATAAACCAGTTATTGGTTTGTCTACGCCTGTTTTCCACTAGTGGACATCTTCAGAGTGTTGCTGATTTTGTTGGTATGCATGTATCTACGGTGTGCAGAATTGTAAAAAAAGTTTCTAATGCAATTGCAAGCAAATATCAACAATTCGTAGTTTTCCATGGAAATCAAGACACCCTGCGACAAAGACAGCAAAATTTTTTCAACATTGCATCTTTCCCACGAGTAATAGGTGCTTTAGACTGCACTCACATTAAGATTCAGTCTCCAGGTGGTGAAGAAGCAGAAATATATAGGAATAGGAAAGGATATTTTTGAGTTAACACTCAGATGATCTGTGATAGTAAATTGAGGATATTAAATGTTGTAGCTCGATGGACAGGTGCTACGCACGATGCTATAATCTTTAATAACAGCAGAGTGAATCATTCATTTGAAAACAATGAATTTAGAAATTGTATTTTATTGGGAGATAGTGGATATCCTATAAGAAATTATTTAATGACCCCTTTACTGCAACCTCATGCTCCTGCTGAGCATTTATACAATGAGAGCCATATTAGAACACGAAATGTCATAGAACGATGTTTTG